CCTAGCTATATCGTGTATTGACTGTTTCCTTACTCGGAACTGGTCAGCTCAGACGACCACCACAAACCGTATAATATTATCCAAACTTTAATGATTATTCGATCTAAGAGAAATACATTTGTAATTCGAAATCAGAAAACGTAAATTTAGTCTTAATCTCATGGCAAAATTCAAGAAAACATGACTGGAAACTTACTTCTGTGGCGGGTCGTAAAAACAGGTTTCTCACTTCAGGTTAGCAGATTCGGGTAAGCGAACAGATACAAAAATCGACTTCTCTCTCACTGATTCTTCTGAAAAAACTGGTTTAAATCACGACAAGCTAACACTTTAAATCATTGTGAGGAATTAATGTCAATCACGAGTTGTGTTAACTAAATTATATCTGTCATCATAGGCGACGCCTATTTACTAAAGGAAACACTATCAAGATTGAATTTTTTCGGGATGTACTTGCTAATACTTTGTTCATTGATCATTCTATAACTATTTGTGTGTGGTGTCTAGACTACACTGTCAGCCTTTGCTAAGTTTAGTTACAAAGAGTAATAAGCTTTCGTTCCCTTGCGTCCGATGCCACACCCTTCCGCTTGGTTTTGGACCGTTCCAATTGATTTCGGACGCTTCCGTCCGTTTTCCGTCTTTTCGTCGTATTATCTCGGTCCGATGTCTTGTTCGGTTTCAGACCCTTCCGTCCAATTTCTCTGCATCACCCTGAATTTCTAAAACTTCAGCAGGTGTAAAAAGTCGTTTTCTTGACAAAAGTCCTACCTTTTTCGCCCGTGAGATTTAAAATCAAGGAGCAAAATAAAAGAAAAGGAAACTATTTTTGCATTTTTGAAGTAGAGATATTCTGGCCTCACAAATATTAGGATGGAATCTGCTATAACTTTGCCCACACAAGAAAAACGCCGGTATTATGGCATAGAAAGCAAGCACTGATATTTAATTGTCCTTGAGTCGTTCATTACGCACATCTATCCACTTCACAATTATTTTTGTATAACTTGTTGGTACACACCCCCAAAATCACAAGGATGAAGACAAAAACTCTACGTCACAGCATCCACCACCTCACAAATCCTTACCTCTTGTCTGATCAGGTTAATCTCCTTTTTGTGCGAATCACCAGCATCATCCGGTTTCGTGTTCTCTCAAGCTTGAAACATTCTTCTGTTCGTAATTACGACTTTTCGTCTTTTTTTCCCCTCTCACACAACTAAATTCGCGATGACTTCCTTCAACCATTTTGCGGAATTTTGATTAGTCTCGTAAGAACAGCACTCTACCATTAGGGCCTAAACGACGTTCATTAAACCACTTCAGTGAAGAGTAGGAGGAAATGAAGCCGGTGCCAAACGGTTATCGCAAACCACGTTAATGTTTGGTATTTTTAATCATTTGTCCTTAAAATGTTACCCATAACACTATATCGTTTCCTAGCTGTTCAGAGTCGTATACCACGCACAAAAAAATTTAAGAAACTCTCTTAATACTGAAAAAGATTGATTCCGTCCAGCCAGCCTGAAGTTCCTCCGTGATAAATTCTTATGGTGTCTATCTAAGAGAATCAGAAACGAAAAATTAAGGGTGTCAATGCGTGTATGTATTCCATTTCTCGCCAAAAATTCAAAGACAGTAGCCTATGAGGTTTAACTATCGATTATTTATCTACTTCAGTTTAGCCATGGCCAAAAGTCGGTTTGGTGGCATGATTTTCACAGACCATTTTCATTTTCGTTAGCCTTAAGTTCTTATTTAAAGCTTGTACTACTTTTTGTACCTCTGAGTGTCTATTTGCGTTTTGGTGACGTTTTTCCGAGTTAGCTTTTTAAGGCTGTGAATAAGAGGTTCTTTATTCTTGACGTACACCTCAGTAAGTAATCAACATGACCTTTCCATCCTGGGGTAATCACCACTGAGTCTGACACAACGACGGACCCGAACGAGTTCCGGGTTGTGAGGTTGTAAGCTTTCTCGGAGGAAAAAAAAATTAACGAAATCCTGTTCTACCAATATGATGTATTACTCACTGGACATGCTTTGTTTCTTCGCACAGTTTATTTTCTTCCAAAGCAGTATTTTGCTGAACAATATTCACCGGAAGCTCTCGAAGGAGGGGCTTAGATGCGGTTTAGCCAGCTGATTTGTTATGATTTGGTTTTCCGTTTTTCGGTTTTTTTTTTTTGTAATTTCATTGGAGCCGACAGAGTGCTTTATGGTGCAAAATTACGGAACCGCCGTGCAGTAAGAAAAACAAGCGCTGGCGATCGATAAGGCTAGGGGTTAACTTTTAGACGCACATATGGCCTAACGTACAATGAACCGCTGTTTCAACATAACTTTTTTGTTCAGCAAACGTTAATTTTTAGGCAACGATATTCGACCTGCTGCCATTTTTAAACTTATATATTGTTTCCTATCTAGATCATATTGTCTTATTAAATTTCTAGAATGTTTGGAACCTAAACGGACATGACCGAAACAAAACTTTGTTTCAAAAATGCAAGAGATGGCCGTCACGCTTATTTCAGCCGAGGAAATAAACGGAACTGAAATATGAACTAGACTCGTGCGTATTTTTGTGAAACAATGCATTCATATCCATAGGATTATCTTGGTGAAACTTTTTTCTTTTTTTTTTTTCAATCCTTCTCAACCCAGACACGATTAACGAAAAACAAATAAGTGTTAGCTGGCGTGACAAAGTGACAGAGTGGTCCCACCGGAAGTGAGAAATATTGCCATAAAGGCATAACGAAAACCAACACCTAATGCTATTCCTGAAAAGTATCGAAACAACTTGAGGCTCGCTTCAGTTTTCAGGAGAACGGTATTCGACGCTGACAAGAGTTCTTTACAACAGTGATAAGGTACCACAGAAGAAAAAGAATATTACGTGACATTTGTGTTTTTCGTTGTTATCTGATTGCTCTGGGAGTAATCTGAGAAACACGATTACCTGTATTACGCAGTGGACTGACATGGATCAACGAATTGTCTGCTGATTAATCATTGACTCACGATTATATTACTGGCTGTAATTTAGTCGCTCTCGAGGTAGCGTGAATTCCAGTGGAACTCAAAATCAGCTCAACTTGAAAGTCCAGAGGATAATTTTTAGCAACTATGCATGTTCAAAAAGGTAGGTCGATCTGTTCTTGACTCTACATGATGAAGCAGATTTTTCAAAGGGTCTTCAAACCGCGACACAACGGTTCGAATCGAAATGCAATAAATCGAAATTTATTGGATTGAAAATATTCTAATTCCATTTTGGGTCATACCGAGGATAAGTCTTGTACCCCACTGTTGGCGTTTGATTGAAATTAATGAAGTTCGAGTCAGATGGTAAAACCCACGGAAGTCACATGAAATTCAACAGATCAAAATTCATTGTGTTTAAAGGAACATGATTCTAGAGGTGTGTCCGTTTGGCTGAGTAAAAAACAATCCTTTAACCTTATATGACTAAGTTTATTCTTATTTTATCGTTTCGAAGGGTGTAAAAATGGAGTCAGGACTTTTGAAAGCTGACTAAATGAATAAATCAGAGATCGTAGTTCTGTTGTTATTCAAATGATAGAAGAGTGAATTATTTTAATTCGACGATTCGAAAAAAGTGGAAGGAAATGATGAAATTTCCTGCAAGAACGCTGACTAACAACGCTTTACATAATGGAATTGGTAAAAGAGAGATCCTGATTTTTTCACCGCAAAACTGAACTTATTTCTTTAAACAATTTTCGGGAAACCGAAAGTAACGCTCTAGCCTGCGAGGCCCCTTCCGCTCCCCCCAATCCCCCTCCTTTCCCCCAGGGCTTGCTTCGCAGGGAAAAACGCTCCTAAATTTCGAACCATGAGTAACGCAATCAAGAATTTTGACCAATCACAGCGTGGAAAATTAGAAGTGCAGAGAGATACTGATGGTCCAATTTTGTCTCTGACGTCATTCTGAACATCCGGGTTCTGCTGATACGTAATGTCATGCCTTGCCCCTGCCTTCCAAGGGTTCTCCAGGAGAGTTTTTATGAGGAAACTGAATATACAAGTGGAAGTTGGGCACATTTCGGATTTTGCTCTTTGAAACTCTTGTTCTAGCATGTCGTGGAATATCCAAAGACCCGACGGTGTCCACGAAATGCCGCCCTCGGATGGCCAACCATCTAAGAGCCATTCACAACTTCTTAGTAACAGAGATGGTAGGACAGATTCGATATCAGTGGGCCTCTAGTTTATTTGTTTTCTTCGACCTTTTCCTCCATTCGTAAATGGAATTGCGGATTTTGGGTAGTTTGTTTCGGAAGTTTTTATCTTATATTGATTGTTTGGGGCTCTCAATGGGTGAATTTTTCATTGCAGCTTTGGAGCGAAAGCTCTCTCAAAGAGAACCCCGTCAGGAACTTGTGAACAGAGGCATAATGCCAGGTTTGAAATTTTTAGTGCTTGTCAATTCGACTCCAGCTATCTTTTGACTAACTCTCTGATTTATTTTTACAGCTGTTAGTGCAGCACCAGCAATTCTTTCTCAGAGGACAAAGCTCGAACGAGCGAAGGTTAGCTGAGAAATTTCACTATGAATGTTTTTGTGTGTTCTGATCCTCAAACTGTCTTGAACTAAAAGAGATATGTAAATAAAATGTAAGGAAACTAAAATCACTGACCACTCGGTGTGTTGTGGCTTTTAGACTGGTGATTTACTGCAGAAGAAAATACGAGCAAGACCAAATCGTGCTCAGCTGATTCAGAGACACATTTTAAAAGGTAAGCTATATTTTTTTATTGTTCAGCGAGCGGATCTCAGCTGTAGTGGTGGCTCCAACTTTATTTGACAGTTTGAAGGTGTTTTGACTAATCGACTCATCTCGCAGAAGCTCTATGGAAATATCCCCGACTTTTAGGTCCGCATCAATGCATTTAATTTGAGAACCTTGGAAAGTGGAGAAGTTTTCCTTAGAGATTAATGCCATTACGTAGTTTAATTTCGTCACGTTTCCAATTTTTGACGCTCGGGTTGTGAAGAACAAATGTTTGTGTTTCACGACAGATTCCTTCATAATAAATTTTTTTCTTCTCTATTAGTCATTGCAAACTAAGTGAAGTAATCATGATGATTTTTTACATAGCTAACCTGCGTGGTATTTCAATTCAGACGGTGCTAATTCAGTTTCATGCGTTGGTTTAATATTTCCTTCACTTTAACTTTTTCGTCTTTAGTGAAATCACTTTCGTTTTCTTCTATAAATTCGCGAATCAAGATATCCATTTACGACGGAATGAAAACATAATTAGCCTTCACATTCTCTTACGTGCAGCTGTTCTCTTCAGTGCTGTCAAAAAATCTTTTGAAGCAGTAAAAAAATCTATATTGTGTTCGTGCTCTGTGTAAGCCATATTTATTTCTATGTAGTTTCACTTCAAACAAGGGAATTTCTTCACACAACGTTGGAAATATTTTTTAATCGTGTGAGAAAGTGGTTTGTTCATACGAATCAACAAGCATGCTTTCGGTGCTTTTTTCTGCAGTGCCAGTTTACGTTACCAAATTCCAGTTTATTCCAGTTTAATTTTACAAAATATTTTGGGATGATTAATTTTATTTTTGCAACCTCACAAGACCTCTGGCATGTGCTTGTTGTATGGCAATTTTTTTATTTCAGAGAAACAAGTGAAGAAGATCCATCTTTCACATTTTTTTCCTAAGATTGATGCTCACAATACCTAGTTTGCTTATCTGATGTCATATTCAATTGGGAATCTCAGAACTTTTTTATTCTTTGCTGTTTTTTTAAGATTTCCCCTCTTCCCAGACCAGCCTGTATTGTGATTTTCTTCACATTCTATTGAAATGGAAAGAGCTTATTACTGGTCATAATGTCACAATGCATTTTTTGTCAATGCCTTATAACACGAATGAAATTTGGGAGCATGTCAGAAGTGTAAAAACCAAGCGAAAAGAAACTGAAATTAAGAAAAACAAAATTTTACAGGCAGATGTTGTGATCTGTTTCTAAGCCCTTTCCTACCACAATTTAATGAGAAATTCTCCCTTCTATCAATGTGCTTAATTAGTAGATTAATTGAAAAAAAATTAGTTGTTATTTAACAATTATTTGCCGAAGGCAAGGTGAATATCGTCGAATAATCCCCGAGAGGAGATTATTCGACAGTATTCACCGAACTTGAGACGAATAATTGTTTTAGTATAATTTCAGAGCTGAACAACAGAGAAATTTCTAAAATCATAACATTTTAGTAACATTTATTAACATTTTATTTTAAAATTTTATATAAACTGCTTGGAGCGGTTTATATAGCATCTTATAAGGAACCACTCAACCAATCAGATTGCTGGAAACTCTTAGCTCAGCTCTGAAATTATACTAAAATAGAATACAGACTCCGTGGCTAAAGACTTTGTTTATGCTCATCATTTTAGAGGGGAGATTGTATTGAAATTGGAATGATAAGTTGGGTATTTATCTCTTCTTAATAGATTTAAGAGCTCTTTCAGTTGTGGAAATGATGGTTATTTTGGTTTCTTTAGAAACTCCTGGTGCTGTGGATCCTTCACTGATCGACAAGCAAATGCAACTAAAAAGGAAGAAACTGGAAGATAACCTCAATGACAAACTGTCATATAGACCAGGCCCTTTGGAGCTAGTGAAGGAGAATATCCTGGAAGCTGGTACTCCAATGAGCCAAGCAGTTCAAGAGGGTACTGTACCTTTTACTGAAACCACAGATTACCTGGATTCCTTTTCCCCAGAGAGTGTTGACTCTCCAGGTGCATCTCCTTCACCAGATGTGGGCCAAGTGTCTTCCCCTTCAAGTGTGGGTTCACCCCCAGTGTCAACAAGCATAACATCCTCAGTGCAGGCTCTTGCTTCTCTGCAAGCACAGACTAAAAAACACACTCAGCAACAACAAGCAAAGCAGCAACAGCAACATCAGTTGTTTTTTCAACAGCAAAATGGCTTTAATCTAACAGCACCTACACAACTCCCAGTGCAGGTTTCATCAACAACACCAAAGAAGGAAACAGCAAAGTCTCGTAAGAAAGCAGCCAAGCCAAAGGTTAAAAAATACAAGTATCATGAGTATCGGCCACCTAATGGTGAGGTACAGAAGTGCGAATTGCCACAAGACTCACCATATGGTTTGTTATTACAGCAACAGCAACTTTACCTCCAGCTGCAAGTGTTATACCAGAACTACCCTCATCATTGTATGTTGCCTCCCATTCCAGAAAATGTGAAACTTGGGGCAAATGGCTCTAAGAATGGCACTGGTAGTGATTCTGAAAAAACTGTGAAAATTGAAGATATGCGAGTCATTGACATGAGGAGAGCTCTAAAGGAACGCGGGCTTCCAGTGTTTGGCTCTAAAACTGACTTAATTAAGCGCCTCAGGGAGGCTGGGCCTCTCCCAACAGAGGTTGTACCAAACTCCAGTAGTGCTGCACCTGTTGTGGTGTCAACACAAGAGCAGATAACAACCTCTGCACCAAGTATGTCTCAAGCTTTTCCAAGAACAACAACCCATCTACCAGTGCAGCGCTCAAATTCCTTGCCTATGCAAAATGCACAAAATTCAAGTTTGGAAGCTGTAGAGCAGTTGAAGATGCAGATATTAGCAAATAACCAAAGCCTTCAACAACTTAGTGTGCCACCAGAAGTTCAGCAACAACTCCAACAGCTTCAATATTTGAACCTTCAGTTGCAACTGAAGCACCTAAACATTCAACAGCAACAGAACATCCAGCCAAAACCTCAAAATACACCTGTCACCAATCAGAATGTAGCAATGAAAAAGGAATCTCTGACAGACAAAAATTGTTCTTTTAGCCCACCACCTGATCACAAACAAATAAAGGAGCAAAAGCCATTATTCATAATGCAACAACAGGGCCAACATGTACAATTGTCACCTGGAAATCATTCACCCCAGCAACAGCTTCCTCATCAGCCCAAACAGGTTGATAATGCTTTGGCTCATTTACAAGAACAGGCTCAGTCATTGGACCTAAGCCCTAACAATTTTGACTCTAATCCCAGCAGTGTGGAAAGCCATGTTCACCCTTGGGATCAACAACATCCTTTATTCGATGGAGAGAGCGATTCATTTCCCTCACCTGGTTCACAGCACTCAGAATTGTCAAACTTATCACCTTTGCAAATGGATCAACTTTCTCACAGTATGGATACTTTACCAAATGGTAACCTTTTCCAGGGCAGTGTGAAACTAGAAAGTCACCAAATGCAAAGGTCATATTCAGAGAGATCTTCATCTGATTGCCCAGATGACTACTTCTTGATGCTGCCACAGACAAAGCCACGGTCACTGTCTGAGCCGCAGTTTCCTGTTTCAACGCATAAGCGATCATCATCATTTCCATCGATCCCTTTTGCTGCTCCTCCGCCAAGTTATGAGGCTCACATGGCTGCACAGTCGCAAAAGCAGAACAGAAACCTTTCACTTGGTGGGCAGATTGGTGGGGCCCTTGCTATGCCAAGTACCAGTCCTAAGCAAGATGTGGATTTGCCCCTAGAGTCTGTTATCCAGGACAAGGAATTATCTCAAGAACTCCACAAGGTTTGTGCATCTTCTCTGTTATTCACTGTTGCTGTAATTCTTTCTGTGTGTGTTTGGGAAGACTTATCCTTTCTAAAGGTGCCAGCACCTCCGTATTTTCAGTATTTTATTAGCCTCTTGGTATAATATTGCATATGGTTTTTTTATATCTGATAACATCTTTGCATAAAAGGGCCAACTTAGTAGCCAAGATTTTACACTTCCAATTGGTACTGCAAATGTTTGAAAGCGTGGGAGATAAGCTCAGATAACCCAAACCCTATGCCACTCATTTAAGTAATAAATAATAAATTTAATACTTATAGAGGCAAAATTCATTATAAGTATATGATCTAATGCGCCAGTCTATTATTTCTTCCGTCTCTGCAGGCAATGATGAAGAATCTCAGTTCACTGGATCACGATGAAATACTTGAAATCCTAGGAGGTTGGTACATGAACTTTGTACATGTTAATAGTGTTGAGGCACGTAATTTTCCCACTTTATTGCAGATTTATTCTTATAAAAAGCCAGTGCTTTGTCAGCTCCACTTTCATTTCGTGAAGGTGTTGTTATGTCGTTTTAAAAATTCACTTTTTATTTATTTTTTTTAGTACTTGGTGAATAGTTCCTTTTTGTGGTTATAAAACCTGAAATATGGGCTCCCTCTTGAGATATTACAATATTTACTATTATTACAAATGGTAACAGGGTTCCCACACTCCTTGAAAGTCCTTGAAAGTCCTTGAATTTGATTTTTTGTTTTCAATGACTTGAAAACCCTTGAATTTAGACTCAGGTACTTAAAAATAAATGCAGATGAATCAAAGTCGAAGTTTTCTTTTGTTTTTGGTGTTGAAAGTGCAAGTTTCTATCACAAATTGCAAAAACGAGTTTTCCTTTCAAATCCTGCGTCCGATTATGATAATTGACACGTGATTTTTATCTATTTTGTACCTGATTGGTGCATTGAAATTAACTTATTTAATGCAAAAGTTCCTTGAATTTGAGAGTGAAGGTCATTGAAAATGATCTTGAAAGTCCTTGAATTGGGTTCTTCAAACAGTGCAAGAACCCTGTTGTAATATTTATTATAGTTTTAGCTGATTTATCATGATTATGATCGTCATTATTATTGTTATAGTTACCCATGTGAGTTTGAAGCCAATTTCATTGTAATTTACTTGCAGAACCTCGCAGTCAATTGCCAACAAGTAGTGCTTCTTTTGCTGGAGTAATGTCAACATCACAGTCATCACCTGCACACTCTTTTACTGGGAGTAAATCACCAGGTCTGGGATACCTGCACACTCTACCAACACATAGAATTTCAAAGAGCTGTGAGGATGTAAGCCAAATGCCTGTTGGCAACAAATTTCCCCCACAAATGGACAATGGTTCTTTGTCTAATTTTGACTATATGCTAATGAGCCCTATGTCTCCCATGAAAGTGGATTCTTGTGACACAGATGATAGTTCATGCTTAATGGATCACACTTCCAATGCTATACCTATTCCAACACCAAACAATGGAGCAGGAAGGACAGATACTCTAGGCTGGCTTGATTTAAGCCTATCACCATCTGCACAGATTCTGACACAACAAGGAAGTACTGAACTTACTCACAATAACAATATCAGCAAAGGAACACCCCCGGCATTTTTGTATGACCCCATGACAACATTGAAGGGTGATGAGGCTTTACCTTATCTATCTCTGTTTGACCTAGAGACTCCAACAGCACTACAACCACCCACAGACTTTGCAGAAACAATGGATTATTGCATCTAGATTGTGGTTTGGTTGACTATTGGTAGTTATTTGGTTACATAATATGGTGATTAACTCTAGTAATAGTCAATAATGATAGTTGCCATGTTGGAAATTACTGTCAATGAAAACCTAAGAAAATGTAGGTTAGTTGTTTAGGTAAATGCGTATTTCCTCCATTTGTGTGCTGACAAATAAGACTACTTTTTATAGTTAAAACTATAAAACTAGCTCCATCTAATGGGAAAATCATCTCTTCATTCACCCCTTGTTTTTTTTGTTCTCAATCAAAACTAAATATTCTGCTTTTCTTTGTTGGTAAGACTACTGAAACTGTGAATTAAGTGTTTATTAAACTTTCTTTATTCAGAAACAGATCAAAACATGTACAGATGCATTAGGAGATACATTGAAATTTGACATCTAAGTTAGGTTATAAGTACATTTGAGTGTGTTGTTCTAAACAAGTAAATTGCAGTGTGCTTTTGTGCCCTAACACTGTCCTTTTGTTAGTAGGATAAACCCAGTCACTCTGCCATTGCTCTTAAAGTAACTTGCAAAGTTGATCAGGGGTTTTGCTTGCATGGCATGTAGTAGAATATGACAGTCATAAATCTGTGTACATTGCCACGATTGATAGTAAAGGCAATAGCCACTCATTTTTGAAAAACAAGACTTCTCTTTAAACTATAGTATCTGCTATCTGACAAAATAATTTTGCAATTAATCAATTCTGATGTAGGGGAGTTTATCCATCAAGATGGTTACATTCAATTCATCAAGCTTCACTCCAATACTTTTTGACAATTTCCAATACTTTTGACAATCAGCAAACTGACTTTATAATTATAAGTGGCCTCGTTAGACAAGCACAGACTTAAATCCATAACGTTTATTGCTTTCCCTTGCATCCTCTCACAAATATTGTTTAAAAAAAAGCTATCTTTTTTTGTACATTAATTTGAAGATTTACCAAGAGCCCCATACCATAAACTGATTCTAGACTAGGTATCTGGGTGTATCATCAATTTCTATTCCACCCACAAGATAAAGGCAACTAAAATGATGAATATCACTGCTTCCTCCCTAAGAAAAATTGTCAGAATGAGTAAAGCTTTGTTGTTTGGAAATACTTGGGTAGGTTTCCTCTTTGGAAATAATTTTCAATTAGTGTTATTAAATGAGAACTATTCCAGAAAGTGAGCAGGTTTTGCTGAATGAAGAACAGTCTAATTGGTCATGATTCAGATTTAGTTGAAGTCAGTAAGCAGATATTTGACTAATTTTAACAATGGAATAACCCATCATTGATCAGTGGTTGAATCACTGTTATCAATAATATCTTGATTTAGAAAACTGCTCTTGTTATTAGCCCTCTTGACATTTCATTTCACAGACTTGCAAATCATTGTATTCATTCACAAAAAAAGACAGTCAATTGTATGTTTGCATTTGTCTCGCAATCAGTACCTTTCAGTTCTCTTGGAGGAGGTGAAGGGCTGTGAATTTTTTTTCTTTACATCCAGGGACATTCTACTGCACTTTCAGTAGAGAAAATAAATTAAATGTAGTATTATATCAAGGGCATTAAAGCATGTCATTAAGTTTGAGGTAAAGGAAGGGCAAATCGTAGAGTCAGCTTTTTTTTAAAAAAGAAATTCAAGTGCAGTGTGAAGATCTTGAGGAGGCATAGACAATTTCAAGAGGTGTTTATTATTTTTGGAAAGCAATGTGGCATTTCTTTGTAACTGCTTTGTAATTTGTACTTAAGAGTACTTGGACAATTCCCTTGCTAGTTGCAAAGACAGTTGTGTTTCTTTTAATGAAATGTGTTTGATGTTTTAGGTCCACTTTCTGTCATTCTTTTGGTGACATTTAATTACCATACAGTGTTTTGTATTAAATTTCACTCAGAACTCTGTCTTATTGTGTTTGTTTATCCATTAATCAATTCAAAACTTCCACATCTTCCCTTTCCCCCAGGTCATCCCTCTCGATTTTGGTTTGTTCAAATTCCTGCCCTTCTGGGAAAAATTTTTTGCTGGATTTTATTGTTATTTCTTTCTGTAAAAGGAAAATTCAGCAACTGTGACTTTCTGCACATGCATTTACCAACCTTTAAAACAGACCACGTAACCTTCTAACACCACCATATTTAAAGATAGAACACTTGTATTCTGCTGGAAAGACTTGACAATTCTAGTTCAAATTCCCTGCCTCAGCTAAGCAGGATTCAAATTTCCCCTTCCCCAAGGCACAGACAACAGTCAAATGCTCATGGGTTGCCTGGGGTAGGGGGGTATGTTGAAGCTTTGAACTGGTTGGTGTCTTTGAAGTTATTTGAATCAGTTTTTGCAGATTGTCTCGTGAATGTTTTTCAGGCATTTATTCTAAAAGCAGTTTTATTTTTAGAAAAAAAAATAACATACAAGTAAATGGAAGAGTGCCGATTTGAAAGATAAACTTTTGTTCAAGTTTTGCGATTTTCCAAGCTACCTAAATGAAAGGAAAGACCACAGATTGCCATATGCCTGTGGCAAAACTCTTGAACAAAAGTTTATCTTTCAAATTGGCACTCTTAATCCCACAGGTATCAATGAACACTTTTCATTCCACTAATTTATTCGTGTTTTTCCTGTCACCATGTTCCCACCAATAGCGTAGCTCCATTTTCTGCATAAAACCCACACACAACCCACAATTCCTTCATTTGCTCTGATGGAGGGCTAACACTCGAAACATCAGTTTTTTAACTCTTTACAGTGGCCAATATACAATTTCAGCTTAGTTGATATTAGTGGAATCGAGATTTCTCAAACCTCCAAGGGAAACACAAATCGGTTTGAGAAATTGGGAATTCAAGAAATCGGGGGTAAAATTACAAGTTAAGCAAATCCAAGGGAAACAAGGTTTGGTTCAAGATATCAGGAGGTTCAAGAAACTGAGGGTTCGAGAAATCGGGATTCTACTGTACCAAATAAACCAGACTAAGCTTGCACATATGGGATGTTGTGTGGGAAGTAGTAGGAGCTATTAATCACCCAGCATGTCAGCTGTAAAATTTTGTTACATCAAACTAACACGCACAAGCTAATTAGTTTTTTCTGTACTAATCACCTGTTGTTGGATCATGAATTGATATCTTAAGGAGAAATTAAAATATTCTTAACTTCTAGAAGTAACAAAGGTCAGAAAGACCACTTCAGTCCAGGGATTGCAATTTCTACTTGGGATTTTCTGTTGTCCTCTTACAACCCCTACCCCATTATGGTCTGTTCTGTGGCCAATTATGGACCCCATCATAGTCATTTTTGGGGCAAATGTAACAACTTTGTAACCACAAATCTTACCATTTTCTAATCCCTATTTGCGGGAATTTTATTACCCCCAAATCTCAATACTGTGTGACTCCATTCTAGTAACTCCACAGAAAATGCAACCCCATTAGAGTCAATCCAGATGCGAAAATGCAATCCCGATAAGCCTAATAATAGGACGTAGCCCCCGTGGTACATAGTTAACATAAATACTTAGTCCATGTGGATTATTTAAGTACAAAAATGAAGTACAAACTATCAAAATGTCCTTGATTTACAATCTCATAATCCCTCCGGTTACTTACTATTATTACTCATGAAGGTTTTCATGATCATTTGGTTTTATTGCTTACTTCAGTGTCATTTTTGAGGCACAAAACTGAAACACAGCATAATTTATTGATTTGTATCAAAATGATAGAGTGAAACATTGCATAATAATTAATGTTACTTTTCAAACTTAAATTTTCTCATGGTTCAGCAGAATGTTGATTCAAGTTCCAAAAAACTATTTGCTTGAGAAATTTCACATAATTTTCACACATTCAGCACAAATGAGAAGTGGTTGGGTCATAAATTGAGCCCCCTTACAGAGTGGGTTCCTGTGAATGCAAGTTGAGAACCACATGACACAAAATACTTAAAGTCTGAAAAACCATTAACGTGGTAGAGGTTTTTATAGTCTCCAGCACTTACTGTTGGATACCAGCTTTTGACTTGGGTCAGGGTTGGGAAGAAGTTTGTCAAGAAGAAAGAAGTCAATGGAGGACATCATTTGATGTGGTTATCATCTTGTTAATTTCATAGACACAACAAAACAATGATCTCAATTGCAATAATCTTTGGATGTCATTCTTCAGAAGAAGTTTTGAAATAAATTTGGGTGTGTAAGTGAGCTCTTAATCCACTGCTTCTTGCCTGTTGAGGTCAAATATAAAAATTCTAAGCCTCTGCTTGCCCCAGATACCAAAGAATTTTAATTTTTAAATCCCATAGAGAGGACACAATGCTTAGGGCCTCTTTGAACTTACAATTAATCTCACTTGCTTTTTGCTTGCTGAATGTTCTAAATCTTTTGACCAAGTCAGTGATTAGTTTCCAAAATCTCCTTACAACTTGTAGACACTTCCAACTTAACAGGTGCTAAGAAAAAAATTAATAAATAGTGAACTAGATACACTACCAAATTATCTGGACTAGGAAATGTGTACTCAATAGTTTAGAAAAATTTTTAAAGCTCTTCTTGGGAGAGAAAGTCTGAAATAATTGCTACTACTTTCTACATAAGAGAATAAGAATTTGGTAATTTCAAAACAATTTGGAGACAAAAGCAGTTCTACATTCAAGGTATTATGTAATATGAAAATATCCTTGAAAATTTGGCTTGTAAACATGCTGCTTTAATGATTAGCATTTAACAGTGCAAGAAGTACATTTCAATTCCAGACAAAATATAGATAAATTTTAATTCTTAATGAAAATGCTTTCAAAATTGACAGACATGTTCACATACCATCCCTCATTGCATTAGTGATACCTTGAACTTAAAATAGTTAAATAACGGTGGTTGCCATAAGTTTAATGGCATAAATGAAGAGAATTTTGCACACCACCTTGACGATGTCTTTTCCAGACGATCTCTATCTGTCCGTTCATCTGTCTGATGACTAAGACTTGATATTTGTTTATGAGATAGGTACATTGCAGTTCATCAATTTGTTATTGGCACAAATAATTGAAAACGACTGCATAGTAACAAACAATTGGCATTTTGAATGCATACGTGCTAATTTCAAAATAGACTTACTGCAGAACGACTAACAGCTGTTTTGTTGAGGATATTTCGAATCTGCATTTCCCTCCAGCAATATTGTTTTAAGCGAAATTTCAATGATATGTCGGCGGAATGCTAAACGGCGTTGGATAGAAAAACTTTACATCAAACTGATAAATTTAAAAAATAATAATAATTTAAAAATTGGTTAACCTCTGCTTTTAAAACTTTGAGAATTGTTTTGTAATCAGGACCAGTGGAATACCTAAGTTCGATAACGGGTTGTTCCGTCGCACGTCTGATCTAAAATTTAAAACCCCTTTTCGATGAAAATGAAATTCGCGAGATTTGATCTATTGACTGCATTTCCTAAACAAAGTGAGTTGTCTAATTATCATCGATTCTGTGTTGTATGATCGGGGAAGTTGTTTTACGCTTTTCAGTAATGAAGTAGGACCTCAATATACTGTCTGTGGATTGGATCGTAGCTAAGCTACGGGAGGCAGGCCTCGCGAATAAAATTCTTTTTTGTGCTTTCTACATGTATAATGGAGAAGTCTTCATTACCGATAACATCGAACATGTTTAAGATCAATCGTAGGCTAAGCTACGAAAGAATAATGAAATTTCAGACGAAGTCAAAGTCTACAAGGAGTACGAGCTTTCTTCTTTGATAATTCCGTTCTCCTGTTTCTCCTCATGAATAGCTGCAGCGTCATCTTTTAGTAGTTGTTTGACCAATTCTCTTTCCGATTCTACAAAATCATCAAAAAGACTTGGCCAGGCCTCTGAGTCGTCGTAATTCTCGAAATCCGGCTCGATTGCCTCGGTGAAATTTAAAAACATATACCAAGTATCTCGTGAAATTCCCCGCAGTTGTCTGTTTTCTAAATAAGCAAACCATCGATCTAGGACAGCTGGCACGTTCCTTGAAAAGACAAGTTTCCAAAGTGGAAGAGCGATGTTCTTAGGCAAGGCTCTCTGGCCCTCATCCACATCAAGTCCAAACTTGAAAGTGAATCGATACAAATCCTTGAACTTCTCGACATCATTTGTTACCTCTGCTTCAAGTTCGGGAAATTTATTTTGTAGGTTTCTTATGGTGTCGACTTTGAGAGCTTTGCATCCCTCGAAGAATTCAGTTCTCGTAAAGCGACACATTTGCGAGGCATTGAATTTCCAGGCCAGAACAAGTACGATAAACTCTGTTGGATCAACTCCTAAGTCTTGACAAAACTTCTCCATGCCATCCGCAAGAATAGCGTCTTCGGTATCGTCCTTATATTTACCAAACAGCGAGGCGATCTTTGACTCGTCAACTTCTTGCTTCGGCAAGGGGAACGTTCTTGGTATATCATTTGAACTAGTTTTCGCCGGTACACTCTTCTCGGCTGGTTTGCTCTTGAATGATTCGTGCATAATACTTGGTGCATGTTGGGGATACGAATTGTTGAACGTCCTAGTAGTTACTGATGTGGTTGTGGTTTGCTGTGAAGGCTTTCGTTGAGTGGTATCTGTAGACGAGTCCCCCACACAAACTGAAAGACACTTACCCATAACCTTAAACCACTACTCTTGTGTTCTAACGTTCTGTTACAGGCAGACAACCGCAAAAGTTTACAAGACAGAGGAAAGTTAAATGTCGTGTTACAACGAAAAGATGTCAACTTTTCTTACGCTGATACCACGTGACCGGATATTGAACAATCAGAACGACTTCCGGTTTAAAAATCCAATTTTTTTGAGCCACGATGATGTAATTTTGCACAAAAAATGAAACATTTTGTTCGTATTTTTACATCTGCCCCGTTGCCTTATCCACTGAAAAATGTTGCCTGAATATGCCCTATTAAAATGAGATACGTTGCATGTTTGGCTCTGTCCATGGTTCTGTTTTATAACAATTCATATGAATTATTCAGAGACGAATGTTCTACCAAGTTAGAGGAAACAAAAATATCAATACTTGTAAACAGAATAAGAAAGATGGTAAATTTTGAGCTCGCTCAAGACATAGTCAAAGATATTTTTTTTAGTCTTGTCACGAGCGTGGGACAAAGAAAATATTCTGAGTCTCCATAAACCACAAACCTCAGAGTTTTTCATGTCCCACGGCCATGACAAACAAAATTCATATTTCGTTACTTCGATGGTTTGAAAATAATGACAATGCATTATTTGGTCGCTAAGGAATGGAATGTCAAAAATTTAAGTAGAAATCCCGGAATAGTTTTAGTTTCCTCTAATTCCCCAAGATCAGATTTTTCTCATAGAAATATATTGAAGTACATTTATGTAATAACTTGGTAGCTCTGAATGATGTTGACATCTCAACACGAATTTTACCCTTTATCTTGATCGCACCCACGAACCAATGCCATGTTGTTTTTCACATCAACGAATACCACCCGGTTTAGAAGCAGTTATTGTTTCATTTTTTAGTCTACCAAATGTGAAAAAATGCGTTAGAAATTAGAATGCCGAATTCGTTAAGTCGTTTACATTCCTTATATCAAGAAAAAGCTAACAACAATATTATTTCAAAATCTTCAAGTTCAAGATAGTCATGTTGACGTAGAACGAATAATCAATGATGTGTCAAGAGTTAAATCCAGTTAATAGTAGTGTATAACTTATGTTCTGTAGTATAGTAGTGTATAACTTATGTATAACTTATGTTCTTATCTTCTATTTATTGTCATGTGTTTCTATTTCTGTAATTTTATCTCATACTGTCATTTCTGTATGATGCACGACCCTCGCAGTAAATAGCGCTATTTATGCAATAGCGAAAATCAGACCTGAAGCTATGCTATTTGTGGGTAGTGGTTGATTATGTTTAGTTAAGTTAAGTTAAGTTTAGTTAGTTAAGTTATGCAAATGTAATATATTTATTCCCTTATAAAACAATAATAATATATATTTATTCCCTTATAAAACAATTATAAAACAATAAAACAAAAAATTAAAAAATAAAACAAAATAAAAAGAAATAAAAAGAAATACTATAACATTTTCACGGATTATTTGTCTGATTTTAACAATGTAGACGTTTTATTATACGTATGATGCACGATCCTTCGCAGTAGGTAGCGCTATTTGTGCAATAGCGAAAATCAGACCTGAAAAAAAAATCAGGCCTGTACGGGATTCGAACCACTGACCTCTGCGATACTAGTGCAGCGCTCTACCAATTGAGCTAACAAGCCAACTGGGAGCAGGCCGTTAACTGGATTCGTAATAAACCCGTGATGATAAATCAGATACAATGAATATATGAAGTTCATATATTTTGAACTGCAGTATTAAATACGTATGATGCACGATCCTTCGCGATCGCAGAACGAAGGATCGTGCATCATACGTATTTAATACCGCAGTTCAAAATATATGAACTTCATATATTCATTGTACATGTTTTATTATATTTGAACTTTGGCGTAGATTTGTGTTTGGTCGGATCGTGTTGGGATGTCACCACTCCCATCGTTCCTAACTCCCTCCCACCATCGTCCAGTCCACTTCACACTTCTACCTTTCTTAATTTTTTTTTTTACCAATGTCAAAGGAGTCGGTCGCAGGAGACTAAAACTAGTTCCAGTAATTGTCAGAACATTGACCACCATCTTTGTTTATTGGGTGGCGGAAGGAGAGAGTTACTGGAATGAGATCGAAAGTGATGATAACCTAGTGATTTCATGGCTAGCAAACGGAACTCTACCGCGGTAAGAACCAACTTAAACCTTTTCTCGAATTCTATGCTGCTGTTTATTCGTGATTGTCGTCGCGAAGCACAATGAATAAAGCACTTGCAATTAAAAGTTGGTAGACAACTGGAACTGTATCAAGAATATCACTAGTCAAGGATGGCATACTCCTCCAACAAAATATAAATGCAAGCGACTATCAAATTCACATAAATACTTTTAGAAGAATATGCCATCTTTGACTGTATTCATTGTCGCTTGAGTTTATTTTCTACCTTAAATACTTCACGTCAATCACTCTTGTCATAATTTGTTCGATTTCTCAACTGTATCGGATTATTATTTGTCAAGGGCAATGTGATTATTGTTGAATGATAACAAGGCAAAGTTGAGGGGGTTATTCAACAACATTTGCATAGCCTGAGGTGAATTATTGTTTTAGTATATAATATTGTTCAGATGATCATAAAAGCTTAAACCTTAATTTTGTTTTTTCTTTGCTTCCAACTTTCCGCACATCAAAGAGTGGCAACACAGAGTCTAGCATAGAGATCGCATGGTTAATCTGTGAACTGAATTAAACAAGATAATGCATAGTGGTTGTGCCAATACTTGTTTGCAAGAATATGTTAGTCAGGTTTAAAATGTCTAACAAGCTGTTAATTATAGCCATTTTGATCCAAAAATATTAGCTCTCCAGCCATAATCACCTCATGCAGGGTGACTGTTGCAAGACATGGCACAATCTTTAACCAGCCAGAGGGCAAGAATCTCTACAATCACCTGAGAAAGTATAATCTCTCATCTATGCAAACCCTCCCAGATCCAAGGCTGTGGTCTAGCACTGCCTGGTGACCCCTGGCCCCTTACTTTTGCTCTTGGGCGACTCAGGAATTTTAGTTTTTTTCATACAAAGCATATGCTGGGCACCCTGGATTTTACAGTTTCAGAACACTGGGCTCCATTCAATTTTCCTTACAGCACAGCCTTGAGATTATTCAAAAGTCTCTTGGATACAGAATGAATGTAGGTCCCTTTTTTGCTTGCTAAATCCCTTAGATAAAAGTAAATTTGGATAGTTTTTTGGATAAAATTTGGAAATCTCAGATTTCCCAGAATTTGGCATCTTTATCATAACAACAGAGTTTTCCGAAAAAAGCATACTGCTCATGGCTCATCTCACTCTCAGAGTTTTCAGAATATGGCCATTTTTCAGTAGTCCATTTTACAGTTGTGTGCTTGGTTGCCAAGCCTTTGAATGGGAGTGAGGCTAAGGGTGACCTTGTTATGATACAAACCTTGCTGCCTTTCAAATGTAAATCACTTTGTTATCATGCTAACTCGATACAGGTCTCTATCACGACAAGGTCACCTTCAGCCTCACTCCAAATCAAAGGCTTGGCAAGTAAGTACACAACTGTAAAATGGCCTATTGATTGCTTTAAATTTGTTTTCAAGACACAGAGTCCTACTGAGAATTGGACAGATGACCTACCTGTCTGCAAATTGTCTGGGGTTGGTTTTCTTACTAATCAAAGGTACAGAGAAGACGGTGGAAGAAGGGAAGAACATGAATTAGAAGACAGGAGTTTTCATTTCAATGTAGATGACACATATCTCTATGGAGTCTTTGATGGTCATGATGGAACAAGGGCTTCAGATTTTACTGTTCAGAGACTCCCTGCTGAGTTATTACTTGGTCAGCTAACTGGTAAGTAAAAAACTCGTTAAAATGATTTTTTCCAAATATAGTTATTATTACAGATGGCTATGACCAACTCACAAATACCCCTTTATAGACATTAGAGCATCATACACATTCTTACATGCATTTGCTTGTGATTAATGTTATTTATGGGTGAAATGTGGGAGCCTGATATTATGACAATGATAACTGATGTCTCTTTCCTCTCCAATGCGATGCTTGAAAATGTAGTGGTATTGTTAAAACTTCTTTTTATTAATCCTGGGATTGGTGATATGGCAGCATTTGAATCCCAAACTCCATTTTAATTTGTTGTTTGGTCCCTAAGCTAACTGAGCAGAGTATCCTAAATCATTGTATTTTGTTTTTGTTTGTTTTTCTTTTTAAGTGACTGAAATGAGTGATTTTTTATTTACACTTGCTAAGAATGGATGGATGATTTGATATTCTCCAATGATATGTTTTGACTGATCAAAACATTGGGCTGGTTGTTTAAAGGAATTTGAGCTGTTATTTGATAAAATCATGTTCTAAGCCATCTTCGATTTAGCCAATCTTTTATCTTAACTTTTGTTTTTGCAAGGACTGAAAGCTGATAGAGAAAGAACATTTATCTAATTTAATCAACCCTCTTAAAAAAAATCCTTGGGGCCCTCTGCTTGGATAACACTACAGTTTGAGTCATACCTTGTCCCAATAACCACCTGATTGTGTCTATGACTTGCTCTGAACCACTTGATGGAATTCTTATCAATAATTTTATCTTTGATTGTGAACAGCTGATATGAATGATGAGCAGATCAAGGGAGCTATCAGGCAGGCATTTATTGTAGTCGAAAAAGGATTCTTCCAGTCACTAGATGATGCTTTGGCTGAGAAGACAGAAATTCAACTATCAATGCCTGAGGTACATTTTGTGTTGTTTCATGTACTCTAATCTTTTAATATTATAATTTGGATATATCAACAAAGTTGAAGTGGTAAATTGGCCACCGTAATGATTACAAAAGCTGACGTTTCTAGCATTAGCCCTTCGTCAGAGCGAATAGAGGAATTGTGGGTTGTGTGTGCTTTTAAAGGCAGAAAATGGAGCTACGTTATTGGTGCGAGCATGGCAACGAGAAAAACATGAATAAATTAGTGGAATGTAAAGCGTTCGTTGAAAACTGGCAGTCTAAATCCCACAGGGATCAACGAACGCTTTTCATTCCACTAATTTATTCATGTTTTTCTCGTTGCCATGCTCCCACCAATAACGTAGCTCCATTTTCTGCCTTTAAAAGCACACACAACCCACAATTTCTCTATTCGCTCCGATGAAGGGCTAACGCTCGAAATGTCAGCTTTTGTAATCATTACGGTGACCAATTTACCATTTCAACTTTGTTGATATATCCAAATTATTTCGTTACTCCCACCTACGCAGCCCCAAACAGTTTCTTTCGAAACTATCAGCCTTTATTCATTTTTAATATTATAGAAGGATTCCAATTGGAGCTCTTGCTTTACTTGTTAAAAAAAAAAATCCCCAGCGACTGAAAATGTAACCCTTTCACTCCCGTGATCTTGTTAGCATGTTTTCGATTGGGCTACTAATATTAAAGGAGCCTGTGGCTGGTTCCATCAGAATCTGGCTTTTTTTTCAAGAAAGGGTATCAATTAATGATTATCATAATTGGTATAAACTGAATGTAAATATGGCAAATGACTTGGTAGGTCCAGGTTGATTTGCATGAAAGTTAATCAGGCCTTGTGGTTTGTTTTGAAAAAATGGCAGTTGGGTTGATTTTATATCAAGGTTAATTAATTAATTAGGTTAATTTTTATATACACGACCGTATTAGGTTAATTAGGATAATTAGGTTGATTATTAAATACACGACCACATCAGCTCCGCTGTAATTTTTATTGTGTTTATATAAATGTTGTTATTGTTGTTGTTGGCTCTTGAAAAGTAATGCATTATTGTTGATATTATGCTATGCCTACAAATTTTTGTGTTCCTGGGTGCCAACAAAAGATTTGGGTGAAGGAACTTCTGTTTGAAAACAGTGTCTACACTCCTTACTTTGAATACCTTTTCCTCTTTGCACTCTCCAAATATTCGATGCTGGTGATACAGAGGGGTGATCGTAAGATATCTTTACTTAGCAAAGAGTATTGATGCTTTCAATATGCCAGTGACGAACTGCTGACAAGGAGCCAAAAAATCTAGGCATGAGGTTAACAAGTGCCACATTGTACACATTGCCACATTGCAATGAGTGCCACATTGTACCGTCACAGTACCAGTGACGACTCAGTGCCGTCATAGTACCAATGTTGAAGAAAAACATTAGTATCATGCTTGGAATCATATTGATTTGAAAAAAACACAACAGCTCATCCTCACCCTTAGCATTTCTTCACCCTCTACCAGGGCTGTAGTCTAGCAACACCTGGTGACACCTTACTTTTGCTCTTGGGCAACTCAGGAATCTTAATTTTTTCATAAGAAGCATAAGCTGGGCATCCTGGATTTCACAGTTTCTGAGCATTGGGCTCCCTTCAATTTTTCTTAGAGCACAGCCTTGCTCTACTGGTATCCACACCATATGTTTTTAATTTCCATGGTTCCTCTCTGCTTGGGGTCATTTTCTTTTTGTCTTCTTGCATTTGATTTTTCTAGGGTCTAAGTTCTTACGAAGCATACCAACAGTTCCCAGATGAGGTTGCCAGAATGCAAGCCTTGCAAGATGAGATCAGTGGTGGCACTACTGCTGTGCTAGCCCTGATTTTCCAAAATAAACTCTTTGTGGCTAATGTCGGTGACTCTAGAGCACTCTTATGTAGAGAGACTCCTGAAGGAAATCTTTCTGTTGTACAGGTAACAATAGTACATAGTTTAATCTTTTGACCCCTTAGATTGACTAGCATTTAATTTCTCCTAGCTAACAACATGACCCCAGGATCGTACATTAAGGTCAAGAGAATAAAGGAAATGATCACCAACTATTAAAGAAGCTCTTGAATGTTAAACAAATTCTCCCACATTAGCACCTTAGGAAAAGTATAGAGAACAGTATGGAGAATATACATGCTAATGTTAGGGTAAAGGGTTAACTATCACTTACAGTGGCAATACTCACAACCACCATAGCAGACAGAGAAGGGGTACCAAGGCTGTGCTCTAACAGAGCCAGGTGGCCCCTGGCACCTTACTTTTGCTCTTGGGTGACTCGGAAATTTTAGTTTTTTCATACAAAGCATAATTTATGCTGGGCACCATGGATTTCACAGTTTCAGAGCACTGGGCTCCATTCAATTTTCCTCAGAGCACAGCCTTGTGTACACTCAGTTAATCCTTTTATTAAGTTGATGATCTCCAGGGTTTTATTTCACTTGAAGTGAACAGGGTTTAGGGTTGTCACAAATAACCAGCTTGTAGCAAAAACTATAACCCACCTCAACAGTAAAGTACTTTTTGTTTTTGGCTCCCTTAGTGTGATACTTAATCCAGGAAAGGAAACCCAGTAATAATTAGTGATTGAAAAACCTCTTTTAGGCTGGGCGAAAGTTGTATGGTTTTGCAATTCCTATTTAAAAATAATCATTAATTCACGATGTTGATGTTTAGTGCTTAATGGGTAAGGAACTGTAGAATTTTTGTAGACTTCAAGTAAAAAAGATCAAGGTCGAGATGAATCAGAAGGCATTTCACCATTTTTGTTGGAGAAAACTTTTCTTAAAAAGTGCCACAATTTAAACTGAGTAGGGAAGTGTACAATTTCTACAACAGGACTTATTTTTTCTATATATTCTCAGCTGAGTGTTGACCATGTCACAAGTAATCAGGATGAGCTTACTAGGCTGGCAAACCTGGGTCTGGACATTCAGCAGATATTAAGGAATCATAGGATCGGAAATCAGGAGAACACTAGGAGCATTGGAGACTATTGTGTTAAGGGTGGCTACAAGGACTTTGATATTCTGAGGTACTTGCAGATTGTCTTGATTTCTACATGCATCTCTTGTCATTCTCACTATTAATTAGAATTTATCAGCAAGACTTTTGAATTTAGAAGTGAATACTGAGGTTATTTATTTTGTTTTTTTCAATTTTGTTATTTTTATTATTTTTTTTTTTAAGGGTATGATGGGATAATGGGCTGCTAAGGGACCAGTTTTTATACATCACCAGGGGGTGAAGGATTTTGAGGGAGATAGAGGGGGGACTGTCACCAAAAGAGTATAAAGAGGGGGACTAAAGAAAATTGACTGTCATTTTTCTATCATTGAGGGAAGTGAGGTCATATGAATTTTACTTAGCCCCATGGGGGGAATCAGTAAATTTGATTGTGACACAACCAAAATCATCCAGCCCCCTGCAGACGACAGATAATAATGACTGGTCCCTAAGGTGGAAGTAATTATCATGGTAGCTGTACCAAGTTAGAGATTCAGAAAATTTAACTTGGTTCACTTTAAATTTGAAATTTCTAATTACAAATGTGACATCATGATCGATGCATGATTTCTCTAGTGTTGCTACTGAAGAACCTGTTATAGCAGAGCCTCATATTTGTGGTGGCTTTCCAATTGACGAAACCTTCTTCTGTCTGGTGCTGATGTCAGATGGTGTTTACGAGTCGATCGATGAAGCGTCAGATGTAGAAACCAATTCCAATTTTGATGTTGTTCGGCTGGTTACGGAAGAACTTCAATGTCAGAAGAACCTGACTGGGGTGGCTCAAGCTGTTGTGGATAGAGTGGGCAGGGCACACCACGACGCATACATGAACCAAATGCCCAACTGCCAGAAGAGAGACGATATGACACTACTGATTCGAATTTTCAAAGAAGAGATCGCCAATAGTTTGAAGAGTCCAAGGGCACCTGGAAGACAGTCCGTCTCAGGTAGGTAGGCAGGCAACATTTTCTGGCATAGATTGGAAGTTACGACTAAGAATTGACTGTTTGTGACCAGAATTTCAGTGCAGGCGACTAATATGAAGTCTTGCCAACGGTTAGTCTGCTACACAGCCGTTCTTAGGGTCGTCACGCAACGCTCCTCCCCACCTTCGTGGGGAGGAGCGTTGCGTGACGACCCTTAGAACGGCTGTGTAGCAGACTAGCCAACGGTGCGATAGCAGTGGCGGAGTGAAAAAGCTTGGGACGGGTCGGCTATAGAACTCGTTCATTACGCAACTCGACACAAACCCCTCTCGTTTTTCACTCCCCCACGACTGTGGGGCCGTTTACGTATCGCGCTTCGTTTTGCTAACTGAATGCCTGTTATCACATGTTATCATCCCGCAAACCAACGCTCGCAAAACAATGCGTCCGCTATTTTTTGTTGTTGTTGTTGTAGTTGCGCTTTTGTACACTTAGCTGGTCAAAAACATCTTGAAAACTTCGCCTTTTCGGTATTTCGCTCTGAACCGAAAAGTTTACAAATTGGACCCTTTTGGTCGCGCGGTGAATTCGACCCGACTCGACCCAACCTTCCCTCACATCTTAGCCCTTTGCTCTGACGAAGGGCTAACGCTCGAAACGTCTGCTTTCAAAACTCTTTACGGTGGCTAATTTGCATTATCAACTTAGTTGATAAAACCCCAATTACCTTATTACTCCCACCGATGCAGCAACACAGTTTCTTTAGAAACTTACCCCCTCCCTCACAATTTTACTCCTCAGCAGCTTTCTATTGTCTCATAGCCATTTGGCGCCTGCATAAAAAAGTTAATTTCTGACCCTGCCCTCCTAGTCCAGTCCACATTTAGTCTTTGTCATAATCTCAGTTTCGTTGTGTTGCGTTACAGGGATGCCCCCCATGAGTCCCGGAGTGCTTCCAGTATCTGTACCATATAACCCCTCCAATCCCGTGACGGGGAGTACTCCTTCACTTTACATACCGTCCGGAGTACAGACTAGACCAGCACCGACCGGAAACTCTCCGAGCCCAACGACGTCCACACCCACCAACTTAGTACCACAGGTGACCATCTCACGGTCCGACACTCAGAGTTCCGCTTCATCGGCCAGCGGATCGCCTTCTGGTTCATTTCCTCCCGAGCATGCAGCTGTTTTGGGCGCGAGTAGTCAAGGTATTGATGGCGAAGGGGAAGGCAACGAACAGAGGCAAGGGACAGAAACCAACGAAGAAGCTAGGGTGAAACCGTATGTCGATTTCACTGATTTCAATCGCCAGGTTGAGGAACTTGGAGCGGATCATGTCTATGGGTGGGACAATCCTAAACCAGCGGCACCAACGACACCGGTGTAGATCTTAGAAATTTCGTCACGGAACAACTTGGATTTTGATCATAGAAAAATTTTCTTTGACCTGAGAACCGGAGCTCGAAAGTGCTAAATGGTTCTTCCAGAGAGGGTATCCCGTGCGTAGTTTAGACTTCTCGCGTGCGTTTTGTCCATTCGCACATTTTCACTTGGATACTGACGGGAAGAAAAAGAGACTTTCTACGAACTTAGACAGCGAACTTCGTTTTCAAAATATGCTGGTTAAATGTGGCAATTGGACGAGTTTTGATTATAGCCTCGTGAATCCTTTTGGTTTTCGAGGGAACATTACCAAGGAGTAATATAATACGAATAGGAACACATTTTCTACCACTTACATAGTTGTACCTGTAAATGACCAATTTTACTCATTAGTCGTATTAAATTTCATTTCATTTTCAATTCAAACTGTGGTGCAGCATCGGTGGGGTATTATAAAATATTTGGTTTTATCGACTGAGTTGATAATGAAACTAGGCCATTTTACAGTTGTGTACTTAGTTGCCAAGCCTTTGATTTGGAGTGAGGCTGAAGGTGATCTTGGCGTGATAGGGACCAGTATCTAGTTATCATGATAACAAAGTGATTTACATTTGAAAAGCAGCGATAGCCCTTCGTCAGAGCGAAAGACGATTTAGCTTAACACTTTCACCCAGTATGAGTGAGTAACAACTGATCTCTTTTCACGGTGTAACCCCTAAATCACACTTCAACACGAAGGCGTGCTATATAAGGGAGTCTTCCATGGGAAGACCTTGGCTCACTTTTCACTCACCGTTGACGTGTGCGGGTGAAATTTAAATGCTGGTAGACCAACAAAAGGAGCTAATGAGATATCTATTGTTTACTTCCACCAGCATGGTGGCATGAGGTAACGTGCGAACCACCTATTTCGATCTCAAATTTACCGCCACAAATAAAGACAGTTTACATTGGAGAAAGGAAATACAAATCTCAAAAATTCTTGTATTGTGATGAAGACATAAAACAATTTTGAGGAATGCGCCCGCTGTTCACTGCTTTGGAGTAGCTGTAGCTCAAGCTGACTTGACTCTAAGAGTTCTATATCACACGACGGTTGATTGGCAAATTGTCTAGTGGGACCTAAGGCTCCTTTTATAGCGCGCCTTCGTGTTTAAAGTCATAAGATTAAAGAAAACTAGCCTGCTGAACATGGGTAATTTTTTTTTGCGATTTTCAGGGAGAAGCATTTGGCGAGCGCAAAGTGCAAATCAAATGGGAGAAGAGGAGCTGCCCCTCTCGTGACTTTACCCACAGGCGCCCCAAGCTCACGTCTTGAGAAAAAGCCAAAGATTAATTCATGAGAGCGTCACGCGTTGTGTGACGCAGTGTAAACTTTCGCGAGGAACCGTTACATATTTGAACGCGTTATAAGGAATAGTATGGGGAACGAGATGTGGTCGATTCACAACAATAAATATTCCGAAATATGAATATTTTATTCGTAAATTGATAAAACTTACTCCTTGTGTGTCCGTTCTGCATTCTGGTTTATGGCGATTTCTAATTCTACCGTTTTATAGTCAACCTCGTTCCCAGGACTTTTCCCTCAGGGCCTTGCCCCCATATGAGGGAAAAGCCCTCAGTCGATCTCAGTTCCGACACATTACGATGAAGCGTAAAAATTGTTTAATTTTATGTCGACGAATCATAATCTATCATCTTTTACTATTAATGAAAATAAAACAATTGAGACATAACGCCACATTGTGCTTAAATTGTGGTTAAATGTTGTCATAGTAGGCGCAATTCGAGCAAAGAATAAAGAAAGACTACAATTTACAAAGCGTAAACAATAATACATCTTTTGATCGGAAATTGCTTCTTATTTACGCAGCAAGTTGTTTACTTTCCACGTTAACGTTACAACAACGATGCGATCACACGGCTTTAACGAAAAAACGATAGAACTTGCCCGAGAGGGTACTCGATATATTCCTGGGTGGGGAAGTGCGGCGCAACCCCTCATACCCCGACCCTGTTTAAGACAAATATCACTGATTTTCCTACCCTGTTTAAGACAGAATTCCGACTTTTGATACCTTGTTTACTTTTGCTCCTGCTCCTTGCCCTGGGGGGGGTACTCGATATATTCCTGGGTGGGAAGGTGCGGCGCAACCCCTCATACCCCGACCCTGTTTAAGACAAATATCACTGATTTTCCTACCCTGTTTAAGACAGAATTCCGAAAA